GTGTGTCTCCATAATTACCGGGCAAAAGGAACAAAATCATAACGACTTGAAAGGAAAAGCTTTCAAAAAATATCTAGAAATACTCGGGCTCACCAAATTTGTGGTGGTCTGGCTACCCAATAAGTTATTTTACCAGGTGTGTGGCAAAGAATTAAAAACAATAACGCCAGGTTGGGTATAAAATAATGTGGTCAGAGGGAACAGACTCACTAACAAGTGTTCTCTTTAAAATAGTTCCTCGTTGGCCAGGTCAGCGAATTAACAATAATTCATTTATGGTTGTCCAGGAGTCTTCTCCTGAACAGTTCCCACATACAATAGACTCCGAAGATAATCTGAAATGTTTTGATAACAGAGTTAGCACACGAGACTCGCGAATGAACGCTGCAAGCGCGAGGGAAATCAGAAGAGAGAGTTGAAGCACGTGACCACGCCTGTATTTCGTGAAACTGTGCAAGTGCGCGTTTTTTGTAGCTTTTCGTATTTAAACAAAAAACGATTATGCAACTGATGAAATGCGTAGCGTTATAATGGAAGTAAAATAAAAGTACAAACCGCCACAATGGATAGAAAACATAATGAAGTCGGAAATTCAGTGACAGTGACTTACTAGGGAGCACCAAGTAAGGAGAAACCAAATGTATCCTGTTGCGATTTTTTCAGCGGTTTTATTTGTAAAAATTACCTGTAATTATTTTCTAAGTTACCACTTTATACCAGGCCCAAGATTGGAACTCGTGCTTGAAGACGAGCCTCGGCCCCTTAACTGCGCACGGTCCCACTGTACCTGTTAAAAAGGTCAGCCTTACTATTCCCGTTCGTTTGTATACCCATCGAATTTTAGTCTACACGTTTTCGTTATTCAGAGATAATGAGGGCAATCAAAGGTTACACTGTGGGAACAGGAAGCTATTGGTTAGAATATGATGGAACTCCTCTTGTTACTGTCGTATTAACATGTCGGACACACATCAGGTCAACCATATATGGATGCAGTGTTTAAACACACCAATTTTTGTTTTGAATCGGATTACAACTTCAACTGGTTAACATGTGCGCGTGCATTGTCGACGTTTCGGTGAGACGTCGCGGTATCCGAAGCGCACGATCAAACAAATATGGTTGCTTTGGGTAAGTAAAAGCTCCCAGTTTCAAAACGGGTTTGGAAAATAAAGTGATACAAAAAGTGCAGTACTCACTGTGGAGGCCCAGTGTTGCGTGGACTGAACCCTACGGTACATTACTAGATGTTGTTTTTCGTAATTCGGTAGACAGGTGTTGAGCATGGGCTGAGGTCAAACTAAGCTTGATCCCGATGCTGGAGTTGCCCGAAAATTTGGCGGACTATTATGGAGGTCGCGGGATTATATGCAATCTAGGCCATACAAGATTCAGTATACTTACCTGGTTTCTAGTTGTGAAACCAAAATAGAGGTCGTATTGGGCAAGGCCTATGGATAACGGACAAGTCAGCTCGCGAAAAGCCCACGATATATGTATAAACGCCTATGCTACGTACAAACCGAACGCGAATGGAAGGTATCCTACGTAAGACATACAGAGCAAGCGCAAGTATATGAGAAAACAACATCAATGCGACAGATCACTAGACAAGGCGGTGCTCGTTCCGTTTGGTACCCAGTTATGTATCGCATTATAATCTTCTGCAACACGCACCGAAGGCGAGCAACGCGGAGGGACAACTGATGAGGGCGCCGGTCTTTCCTTCTTTACCGCAGAAGCCAGCGATGCGGTTAAATAATATCCCATTCGCCCTATCTAAAAAACTATGTTAGGATTATTCTTACATCATTGGTATGTGAAAACTAGCCTGAGGATACTATATATCTTTAGAGCTAGCATCAGAGCTATCGCCTTCAATGAGTACTACGCGATTTCTGAACAAACTGAACATGCCTTCGCCTCCGAGCCTCAGTTGTATGTCTCTGTTCTCTGTTCGCCGATGATCAAACCAATGTGCATATGGCACACGGTCTGTACATTATTAGTTGAATTAAATTAAATATGTCTACAGATCTAGTGAGAAGGCGTTCGGCTGTAGCACCCTTCCGGTGCCTAGCTGCCATGCCATCCGAATGAAGCACGAGGGCTAGGATACTGCCAGGTTGCCCAAGCCTAGAGAGGGGAAGTCGAGTGGCGGAGGTCGGATTCGAACCACGAACCTTCCGGTCAGTAAATTCGCGCTCTAACCACCTGGGCCATCTCGCCCCCATCTCGCAGATCTAGTGACTGCGACTGCAACTAAACCTTTTGAGGCAAACCATCTACCGGACAAGGGGTTTGGTCCCAAGTGACTAGTTGCAGAGTCATCAACCTTGGTTTCTACGTCATATATGTCAACATTGATCATCCAGTTGATGTGAACAGTGTTCTATCTGAATTTTTTGACGTTACGAACGGAGTGTGTGACTGTTCGGTCCGTTCCCCGGGCATATTTTTGTATTCATATGAACTTTATAATCCCTAGTGCAGACTCTAAGCTTGCCGTCTGACGACAAAGTAAAAATCCTGAGTTATACCGTGCACTTCTCCGAATGTTTTACATAGTTTATTTGGCGCACGGTAAGTGAATACGCCTGACGGCGGGACGAGGAGCAGAAGGGTGAAGCTGTGCTCTTGGTAGGCGATTCACTGTTCAGGAAATGTTTTTGAGGAGCCTCAGTACTTATGTTTTTTTCAGACCCACGAAGGTTGGACTGCGGGTTATGTGTGGTTGCGAAAAAACGCCGAACATCGTGAACAGAGCAATGGACATTCTCGTCGTGCAGTTTGCGACCTACCTCTAACATTCATCAGGCGGATCAAGTTGCGTAAGACACCAATCCGTTATCTAGTCACACGGGAATCGAAAACCACGCTGTGGCTTCCCATGGTCTCGAAACCACGTAACTTCACATACAAGGAGGGTTGCACAGAGTTGTTCACGTTTGCATGGGAATATCGCCGCTCACCATTTTACTCAATCTTTACCTTCCGATTGTCTTCCACTCAGATGTGTGCCGATCACAGACTGTTCCTTTGCAGTGATAAGTTCTTGATGAGCGGAAGTCGTTTGAAAATGTGGTTCCCACTAACGAACGAGCCCCAAATCAAACTGAAACACATTGCCATCAGTTACCGGTGTAACGGGTTGATCGCCACCTGCCGTTGCTTCTGTTACACAAGCTTGGGCTCCGATCATGCACTCGTTTTTCAACTTCGTCGTTGATAAGATAATGAGACGAACACCGGGTGGTCCTCAAATGTGTGGTGTTCAAATCGTTACCGGCGGGAACCTTGAGATACGCAGACGGCATCCTCCTCCTTTTTGAAGACAAAGACGAAGCACGAGGTCTGTTGAATAAACCAACCACCATCATACCATCTTTTGGCCTGCATCTTATTCTTCCAATGTGCAAAGTCATGCTGCAAAACATGCAATCTCTGACCGTATTATTAACAACTCAAAGAGAATAATTGAATGTTGTGGGGAATTTCACATACGTCGGCAGTTATATTAGCTCCGACGGAAATGTTTCTGGACAAGTCATTGGACGAATCTCCAAGGATAGTTGGCGGTACTTGTGGTCTCAAAACGGCGTATCGATGGGTAGCGTCTACTGGGCTACAGATACGGTTGTGTTGTATGGTTGCGAGGCATGACCCCTGCGGACGCGTCACCTGAGACTTCTTCAGGTTTTAAACAATGGAGCCTCAGAGGCGTTGCTGGTGTCGGATGGCGTCAATGAATTTTTGACGCAGTAATTAAAAATGGGTATTCGTTTTGGCAGCAGGTACTTCGGCCATGGAAAGCATGCAGCACCATCAATTACAGTGGCTCGGTCATTTGCTACAAATCCCGAAATATCGTCAGTCGACACGAGTGTTCTCCTGTATGCTTTCTTCAGAATAGCGCAAATCGTGAGGAGGACAACATTTGACTTAACAGAATAATGTGAAGGAGCTTTGGTGCCGTGAGTGCGGTTCACCTTCCAGGGTGGGTCGCCGTGATCTTTCCCGCGCTTGGCTGGAGATAATGCAACAAATGACTGCTGATCAATACCAGTGGCTTTTATGCCGTCAGTTTTCTCCAGATTGTTTGGTCGAGCACTTGGAGGTGTAGGGACCTCAGTATGCTAGAAATTGCCCAGCGCCAGGTCTCTTCCTCACTCTTTTGTACTCGATCAAAGACTAAATCTAATTAGACAATTTGAGGTTGTATGGCTTTCAAGCCTCAGTAATATCACTTGTGTTGGTGTCTCTACTGATGCTGATTTCAAAATTGTCATGAATTTAATCCCTCACCGTCCACCTGTTGCGTCCCAACAATGGTGACAGGCCTCTTCTGGCTTTGAATTTTAAGCCCTATTAAATTCTCCGTTAAGTTCAAAGTTCTCCCCGGAACATATAAGTATTTAGATAAAACGTTACGACCGTTCACAGTTCCTCGGACTGTCTGACATAGTCATATTTATGTCTTGTGTTTATAGCCTATTGCTAACGAACCATATTCATGTAAATTTGGGTTTGTCTGCTTCTGCTTTTACCTCGAGTTTTGTAACAGACGTTTTCATTTTGCAATGGACATTCTCAGCTATCCCTTGCAAACCGCCGATCAATCTGTTAATCAAAATTCTGTCATTTTCTACCAGAAAGCTCTTATCTTTCTGTCACTCGGATAAGAAGAACGTTGGACGAAGTAGCGCCTCTGTGATCCAACCAACCGCTCTAGCGTTCTCTAACGGAGGCTCAAACCTTTTCTGTGCCTACCACAACGGTGACGTGTATGCGTTGGACTTCATTCACGATAGGTAGATCCTCGAAATTCTGTTTACTTTCTCTACCAACAGATGCCGCCTAGTTGCCAATTTGTCCCAAAATATTACGGCTATATGTGGACAGCATGACAAGAACAGGTTACTCGTTGGCTTGCAAAATACTAATATCCATGTTTTGGATACAGGTACGTTTCTCTTGGTTGTTTTGTGGTTTCACATTTCCAGACTGTTTAACCGTCTTCTCATGAGACTTCATGTGAATCTTGATGCTAATTCAAGTTGGAGTAATTCCAAACCTCAAAAACTTGATGTTACACCGTTTGTAACATGGCCCAAGAGAGAAGAAACGTGCGATACGATTTTCAGAGTGGTCAAGATTAAAATAAAGCAATATTTATGTCACACTGACATTATCCGAGTGTTTGAAATTGCAGTGTTTTCGTTTTCTGTGCGATTTTCTTGAGTTTCGTTCCGCTTCAGTGGTTGTCTAGGTACACATCGAATGGCCATACCCTAATTTTGCATCCACACATCAAGATGAGGGACCTTGCCGTAACATCCTATACGTTTTAGCAAACTATTTTGTTAGAGAAAATAGAATTATATGGCAAACAATATGGCTGATTTCGCTACGACACTGTCTGTTTTTTTCAATTATGAATTTAGGATACTTAATAATAGATAATGAGTGCCTTGTTCTCGAAAACAAATTGTTTTCTTGTCTGGTTTTTGTTTTGTAATCCTATTATCCGTTTTAAGATCCCTTATGTTTATATGATTATTCACCACCGGTACATTTTGGTTTGCTGAATTATGGTTTACGCGTCCACTGATTTTGGCTAGTTTTCATTTAACTCAGATCTCGTACCATTCTATGAGGTTACAGGCATCACAATCTGCTGCAATCGGTCCTCTATGCACATAAAACTGATCAGTTTGGGCGGCGTGTTGGAGTTGGGTAACAGAGCCTCCGTTGCCTCAATCCACTTCAGATTCAAATTTAACAGATTTCGCACTATCTTATCCAAGTCAGGTAAAAAGTCAAGGAAAGCTTCGGTGGTAATAGGTAACTGTCGGAGTGCGTCGTAATATGGTTGCGTTTCAAAGGTGCACATCAATCATAGGTGATCCAACAACAGCGAAATTGATGCATGCCTTTGGCAGTTTGAAACAATCCTAATATAGGATGCATCAATCTCGAGTTGTGCACAGTGTGAGTTGAGTCTTAGAAAATCAGCATTTTCAATGGCCTCTATCAGCGGCAGGGATCTGCCTAATTCAGACGGTGGCGGACTTAGTGCTGACAGTATAGATGCGCACCCTTTGCACTGAACGTGCGTCTTTATTCGGGTATTCGGCTCTCTATTAAGTTTGTTTGCATACAAGGAACAAACTCTATTCATAAACAATAAACCGAAGTGTCCCATTACAATGACTGTTTTTGGTCGGTTCTGTCAAATTCACTTTACGGCATACTGGAACGCTTTATTAGAAGACATAGTAGATTTTTCAGAATGTTGCAAGCGACGCTTGGACACGGCGATTTACCATCCTTCTGTTAGCACCTTCAAAGCTTAGTGCTACAAGCTCTGCCGAGATAAATGTTACGCTGGGGACCATTTGAATTCAAAGCGATGCGTTAGGCTGCGTCACCTTTTGCAGCGCGTACTTTTCCGGTATAGCTATTTTGAAGATCCCACAGTTAACTTAGGACGGTTTCTTATTGAAACAGTCTCCACGAAGTGGCAGTTGGCACGAGTTTCCTTTGTCCAACGTCATGTACGCACATACACTGCGGATAGATGACCCTAAGCCGTTTCGTAACGGTGCATATTTCTAGATCATGCACTCCCAGGCGTGTGAATTCACTTTCTGGTGAGATTAGCTTTCCAACTGTCATTGAGTTTAGAGCTTCAATTTCTGAGAATTTTGACAAAGCACGTGAGAAGCCTTCCTGGCTACATATTATTAGTGTTGACAACTTTCACTAGGTATTTTGTCTATGGTTTTCACTGTTGTTCAACCCCTGGTGCTTTTCGCCGAAACCATTCTTTCCAGATACTGGGAGAGAACGTGGAATTCTCAGGGGACACACAAGCCACATACAAAGTATTTCCACCCAAACCCGTGGCATTTGTGGCATTTCCGTGGGGTCAAATGAGGCTATTTTATGGAACTTACGAACGCTAGAAAAACGATGTAAGCTACACATCGAACCGGACACAAACGTGACATCTGTGAGTCACTGTGTTCGAATGCCATTAATCCGCTTGATTTTCTCAATCTCTTTCAGTTCTCCTTGTCTGAAACTTATTTTACATCAATTTGCATCTATCCAAAAGAATACTCACGTGGTTATCTCATGATCAAATTGTTTTTGGAACGGTCAGTGTTGGTCAGCATTCTGCTGAAAAAGTTCATTGTATGACTGCTTAATGTCCAGCGGTTCCCACTTCTTCCACTATGCAGTTATACATGTCTTGGAGCTTCATCCGCCTGATGGGACTGACCAAACGTGGAACTTTTCCAGTCGGTCATTACTGTCAAGAGATATCCCAAGTAGTCGACAAAAGGTGGCTTTTGTGAAGGAGTGCTCCCAAAGTATGGAAGATGTAATACCATAAATTTCAGGCCTACGATTGGTTCATTATCTTCCTACTTGATTTTGAATAGGGTGGGTTCACTCATCACGGACACTCAGAGTTGTCTCATCTTGGGGGTGCTTTTAGAGATTAGAAGTTCCAAGCTAAATCCTTTGGTACTGAAATGAGCATATTTTAGTTGGAGATCGTGTTTCGGATGGAGAATATATTTAATGACTCTTTTTCAGGTTTTTGTATGAAAATTCGGTTGCTAGTGGAGGAAAATCGTAACAGTGTGGGTTTCTAATAGCTAAATGTACCATAAACTCGTCGGCACCGAAACCTTGTACAAGTCACTGTGTTGAAGACTCAGAATTCCAATACCTAACAAACCTTTACTGCACATACAGAGGGCGTTATTTCCCGGGCAAATTAACTTGAGTCAGTCAGCTTTAGGTGGACCCAAAGCTTCTCCCCGTTATGGTACTTCTCTTCGGCCTAAATCCAGTCGGCCTTACAACTTGGACGACTTATTCGCTGCTCGCCTAAGTGGGTCCTAGATTTTCTGCAACCACTCATGGCATTAGGTTGGACACGTGGTCACCGCCCTGAAACAGAAATAATGGCTTTATCGTTATCAGTGTGTGTTATCAATGCAGCCAGTGAATTTCCTATTTGCTGCATGCGACACACCTATAAGCGTCTTGTCTTCCCATTGAAGACTTCAGAGTAGAAATGACGGAAGGGTACTTTCGCACTACAAGTGTATGGCCGATTTTGGTATTGAACTTTTTCCTTTCGCATTAGTTTGTGGTCAGATTTGACCAATTCTTGCGCCTCCTCGAAGTGAGTTAATCTGAAATGTAGAAAAGCTTGGTTTTTAATTTCCAGGAGTGTAAATAAGGGAGGTACACGGACTCACGAAAGAGGGCTGAAACCGACGAAAACAAAGTATGCTAGTTCAAAGAAAGCCTATTGACAGGCTGGGAACTCCCTTCTTTTGGTTCACATTAGGTTAAGTGTTGTCGGCAGTGTTACCCGAGTGATCACTGTTTCGGGTTCACCGTGACTTGCTTTCCAGCTGCTTTCGTATTTGTGGTTGTGTATTTTGGAAATCACATTTGATTTTCAATTTTTCCAAATTCCGGTGAAATAGCTTCAGACTACCTCATCAGAATGCAATAACTGCCAGTGATTGACTACAGTTCTTACGCGCGACCGCGGTGTGACTCACTTTCCGCTATTATCCGGTAAATCTCTGTATTGTAATTATATGATCCTCTCCGTAAATTGCTCTGAATTGGTGGTGTACTGAACGCAGCAGATACCAAGTTCAGCGAAATTCCAAGGGAAATTCTTGCGTATTGTGCGAACATAGTACGGTCGGGTTCACGGTACGATTCATTCACCGGAGAATCGCTCGGTCTGAGCCCTGGTTTTGAAATATCTCCACTGCACTCAGATTTTTGTCAATTTTTACCAAACTTACCAAAGGCGGAATGAAAGTTCATTTTCATGTGAAATATACTAGTAGTCATTCAGTGTAAGTTAACCGAAATGACGAAAAACCAGCTAAGGACCACACAACAACTTTTGACATTCTGTTGCCTTGGTTCGTGTAATGACCTTCAGACCCTTAACTCTAACTGTGGTTTTCCCATCTGTCTCCGGCGTATCTGCCGGTACTATGGTTTCTTCTGGAGACCTCTCTAGGAATTCCCCCTGCCCCAAAGCATGTCTTTCCACATGTTATTTTGTATTGTAGAGTGACACCCTGACTAGTTCGTTCTTCTTCATTGCCGCACGCGTCATCCATTCTAAGTTGTTTATACCACTACTCGTATTTTCGAGTCTTTCCCTTTCATCATTTTCACTGTCCTACGTCTCAGGTGTTCTTCCTTCCTCCACACGATTCCCACATTCTCTCCTGTCTTCGTAACGGATCTGTATACGTCTGGGATGCTGATAAGCTAGAGTGTTGTTACCACATGTCCGGCAAGGAGTATGGCCTTTTGAATTACCAAACAGTTACCACAACGAGGTTCGTGAGTTCTTTTGGTTTTTCTTGTGTTGCTAGAGTAACATTTTTGTTGTTGTATTTGTTTATTTTTGGGCTAGTCAGCTGGTAGACAGGAATTCCTCAACAAATTATACGATTGATATTCAGGAGTATTTGTAGCCCTTATTTCGAAGTTCCGTGGATCTCGGCTGTTCAGAACAAATGAATAATAGCCGGATTTTCTTGGATCCATGATTAATATCACTTTCTTCGGGTTGCAGCCACCTTTCGTTAATTCATTTTATTTCGGTATTTGTACCATATTTAGCGCTGTGGTCCAGTTTGTCTGTTTCCAACTCTACTGCTTTCTACTCTCTACTACTCTACTGTTTTTGGTTATAACCTGGTGTGACTTGACGGAAGCCAATAGGCAGTTGGATCACGTGACCAATAAGCTACCATTACTTAACTCACCCACAGCCATTATCCGTGCCATTGTCACTGCAGCAAAACCTACCACGAGTTACCGTGTATAGGGTCGATACCAAGCACATTCCACGGAGCATTGTCACCGCACTTGTAACCCTTGCAGGCCGCCCAATTTCTTCTTTCAAATTCTGTTTTCAGAAGAAGCCGCTTCCCTTGGCTTGGTTGCGCCAGTCCACTTCAGCAAAACTTCGCGGGACAGTGCCATCCTGGTGCAGGGTCTCTAGTAATATCCATTTCGGGTTCCGGTCTTCAAACTTTGTATACCTTTTTAGTTCTGACGAAATTATGGACAGGCTGTACAGATAAACCCTGTCTACAGTGACCACTTTCGGCCTTCATCGTCTTCTTGTTACCCTTACAGAGTCCATCCTTATGTTCTGAATTTTCTCCATATATTCTACCAAAGCTATAACGTAAACACAATACCTGCATCAGTAATTTCAACTTTCAGATATAAGTTAAAAGTTAATGATATAAACATGCTTATATCCCTAAGTCTAACCAGTAAATATCAAAAGCAAACGCCCGAATCAGTAAGACATGCCTCTAATTTTTCGCTTTCAACTTACGGCTGAGGTGTTAAATATCATGAGTGTTTTCCGTCGCGACGGCTTTTTCGTGGCTTCGTTATTCTATTATGTATTTCTATTATGTACTCTCTTGGAAGGTTTTAGTCATACAATTATGTGTAGTTCCAAAATCAGTCTCATCCTCTGCATAAAATTCTTGCTGCCAGCAAGCATCAGTAAAAATTCCAAGGATCTCACCTGCGCTCTCTTCTAGCGTTGTTTGCTTATAGGGCAATTAGTTTGGACTGCAGTTCGGCCGAACTTTCTTCAGTAGTTGTTCGAAATTATGCTGCACCATCCGGTTGTCCTTCTGTTTCTTGAATGGATCTGAGAAGCACTCGTGAAAGCGATGTTGGAGAGGATTAGTATTGTGGATGTAATGACAACCGTTTGCAACCAACTTGTTCAGCCAAGGAACAAATCAACGACACTCCTGAAATCCTTTATGCGTTATTCACATGGGGAAAGTACACTTATTCATTTGGGAATCCTACCTCTGAAAAATACGCGAATCTTCCTATTTTCATTTATCCTCCAGAACAGTCCTTTTATGATGTGGTAGAAATAGTGAATCACATTTTGCTGCATAAGTTGCAGGTGGATGAGATGGATGAACTCTGTTGGAAATGCTAATTTAGGAAGGCACCAAAGACCCAGCTGAAAAAAACGATTATCTTTTCTCTTTTTGTGGGAACTAGACAGTTTGATTTCATAACAGAATTGCACCGAACTAAAATATTTTAAGGGATATCACAAACTGACGACCAGTCTCTTCAAGGAAATCTTGAATTTAGCCGTGATGGGGCTCATGTTTTCGGGTGACGTTCACCACGCCAATGGCATGTATCGTGACAGTGGATGTCTAAATGCTTTTAAGGGAATGACTTTCGAGTGCAGTTTATTGAAATGTGGCTCGATACATTACGATAGTATAGATGGCTTTAAGAACCTTCTGCGTAGCTCTTTCTTAGAGCTGATGTTTTTATTCTTCCATAAGATTTTGTCCACCGGAATGGGTTTCAATAAAGCTTCCAGTATGATAAGTTATCGGACCGTGTTTTATATGAATGGTTGTAGGCGCTTCTGTGTTGTAACACACAGTATTTAACGGTATTTAACACAGACTCACGAGGTGCCAGGTGTTGCCAGTGGGTTTTGTTATTAACACCAACAATCCATGCAATGTCTGGCGTCTTCCACGCTATTCGTTTGCCAGGGGAATAATATTTTCTGAATTAGTTTGCATAATACACAACTGTCACATGTGTTTGTGTTGTGACCTACGTTGGAACAGCATTCATGGGAATTCTGGACCAACGTTGACCACGCGACACGGACCACCTAAAGAGCCACTAGACGTAATGCAGATAGTTCGTCCTCCGATCGGTTGATCTTGTTGCTTATCTGTTAGATGGCCGTCTATTTGGGTTGAAGATGTGATGCACTAAACTGACGTATACGTTATTTTGATCTGTATAGTTTAATTTAAGGACAAACTGCTGCTGCCCATTTCTGAGGTGATAATTCTTCAAACTGCTGCCTCCATTTTGCGTTTAGCGGAGGTCTTTTCCTCTTCGCCGCTGGACGTTCTCCGTTCATACATCTGTGGCGTCTTGATCATCTTCATGACCAGGACCTGCTTCCTTCGGCGAAATCCGCCACTGGGCAACCTGCAAATGCTGAGAGTGATCGCGAGTTGATGGAAGTGATTAGACTTCCCAAACCGGCTTATTCTGTTCGTCGTTTGGCTTGGCTTCCTAATCCGTCCTCGTATATTTCTTCTGACAATTGTCAGATCCATGTGGATGAGGTGAGAGTTTAGATTACCTGAATACTGATGTGGTGTTCTATACCACATTGGGATAGCTCAGTTACTTGACAGCGTTAAACGCCACTGATCGGATTGGGAGCTTGAGTTTTAGAATCATTCGAATTCGGCGCCATGGCTCATTGTGTTGGGTTGTTTTCTACGTCGGCGCATGCTTTTCTGTCACATTACTGTCCGCCGACGTCATCACTCCTATTTTTGTTTATCCAAACATTCTTATATTGTTTTATAAGCCTTAACCAATCATGAATGGTGTGATCTTGGAATCACTGATCCTTCCATACATTCAGTACTAGGAATGATGAGCGAAGTCAAGAAGTGTGAAGCTGTAAAATTAACCTGTTGATTTTTCTTCGGGAGTTATCTTATCTAAATTCATTAGTTTGAGTCCATTAATCCATTTTAAAGTCTATGTCCGAGGAACGTTTCTAGCTGTACTCCAAACAATATGCCAGAATCACTTTCTGGCTCTTCAAAGGGCTGATGAATCCTCTGAGAGGACACACGTTTGTGCTGCGTCCACTTATCATTGTCCAAAGTCAGTTGGATGGATCGAACAAATTTCTTATGTGCACAAAATTTGGGTGTGAGGAGTTTGATAGTGATAGCCTCAGCACTCGTTGGACTACGTAGAATTGTCGTTTTGGACCGCTTTTATGACAGTTGTTCCACGATCCAGGATATCATGTCTCCGTTTTGAGCATGTCGTCTTGTAAGGAGGGCTCAGTTTATAATCGTCGATTATATTCGTCGATGAAAGTTCATGGTCAGAATAGGTGCGCTAATTGGCTCGTAGTTCGCTCGAGCATCGCCGTCAGCCATCCACCTAACATGGCACTCGTGTGGTCCGCATGTTCTTCTAGGTCTCTTTTGTAGCATCTGCTGTGCAGTATGAAACATTTGGGGTCTATCGAAGTGGTTCGTGCCACCGGAGGAAGAAGCAACATTCTAAAAGAACCGAAATGGTCACCAACCAAACCGATTTGACCTTGTTAACTTCATTCAAACACAGTGAGAAGTCAGCTTTTGTGGTAGTCCATTGACGTCCCGCTACCCACAAGGATTTGTTACTTAAGGCAATGTACTCTAGTCCCTTTAGATGTACGACCTACCGGTTGACACCACGCGCTCGTGAACAGTCATTAAACAGGTTAGTATTGACAATATGTCCTAATTTTAGAGGAGCCGAATTCGCATTTAAGTTTGACACACTTGAATATGAATGCCACAGCTACTGAAGAATTCCTGGTTAAAGTGTCAGCTATCCAATCACCGTGAAAAGGGAACATTAAGAAACGTTTGACTGTTGCTGTTAGTTTTATTGCTGTTCTGGTAGGCAAGTTGGGTGAACGAAAATGGACTTGGTAGGTGTTCTCCTTTAAGGTGCTTTTAATGACACCTGGTTCGCACTCCGCAATATCATCGGGAAAATTAAGTAAGCCGTATGACGCGATACTTATCCAAACGGGCTAGGTAACATTATCCACCAAGTCAACAAACGATAGGTCACCACTCCACACACAACATTCCATACCGTACATCAAGCGCCGCAAATCTATCCAAAGCGGTAAGTCTACGTAGTCCAACGATTGCTGATGCTATCATCACGCAACTCCTCAGTTTGCATGCATTTATTCCCGTGTATGACCTACAGGAACGGTTATTTTCTGGGTAAACACAGTGTTGTTACTTCCTCATTTCACTGTAGAACCTAACAGGATGTCAATGCAACAGACCATACTGTACTTGGTCCTGTGGAGATCTGTTCATATGGTCTTAGTATTCCGATTGAAGGCGTCATCTTGGTAACCCTAAAAGATACCCTCGTTATTCAAATAAACTGGCTCGCATTGCAGTTGCCTGTGAAATCTCAGCCACCCACGTCTGGTTGGTGCAATGTGCTTTTTGAGTTATGTCGGGTGCAGATTCGCAGCTTGCCTAGCCATCCAAATCAAAATGGTTCATTCAAACAAAGCATTGGCAACATCTTGTCACCGATCGTAATCTTCACAAAGGGCTGATGAATCCTCTGACGAATCCTCTGCGTCCACTTATCATTGTCCAAAGTCAGTTGGATGGATCGAACAAATTTCTTATGTGCACAAAATTTGGGTGTGAGGAGTTTGATAGTGATAGCCTCAGCACTCGTTGGACTACGTAGAATTGTCGTTTTGGACCGCTTTTATGACAGTTGTTCCACGATCCAGGATATCATGTCTCCGTTTTGAGCATGTCGTCTTGTAAGGAGGGCTCAGTTTATAATCGTCGATTATATTCGTCGATGAAAGTTCATGGCCAGAATAGGTGCGCTAATTGGCTCGTAGTTCGCTCGAGCATCGCCGTCAGCCATCCACGTAACATGGCACTCGTGTGGTCCGCATGTTCTTCTAGGTCTCTTTTGTAGCATCTGCTGTGCAGTATGAAACATTTGGGGTCTATCGAAGTGGTTCGTGCCACCGGAGGAAGAAGCAACATTCTAAAAGAACCGAAATGGTCACCAACCAAACCGATTTGACCTTGTTAACTTCATTCAAACACAGTGAGAAGTCAGCTTTTGTGGTAGTCCATTGACGTCCCGCTACCCACAAGGATTTGTTACTTAAGGCAATGTACTCTAGTCCCTTTAGATGTACGACCTACCGGTTGACACCACGCGCTCGTGAACAGTCATTAAACAGGTTAGTATTGACAATATGTCCTAATTTTAGAGGAGCCGAATTCGCATTTAAGTTTGACACACTTGAATATGAATGCCACAGCTACTGAAGAATTCCTGGTTAAAGTGTCAGCTATCCAATCACCGTGAAAAGGGAACATTAAGAAACGTTTGACTGTTGCTGTTAGTTTTATTGCTGTTCTGGTAGGCAAGTTGGGTGAACGAAAATGGACTTGGTAGGTGTTCTCCTTTAAGGTGCTTTTAATGACACCTGGTTCGCACTCCGCAATATCATCGGGAAAATTAAGTAAGCCGTATGACGCGATACTTATCCAAACGGGCTAGGTAACATTATCCACCAAGTCAACAAACGATAGGTCACCACTCCACACACAACATTCCATACCGTACATCAAGCGCCGCAAATCTATCCAAAGCGGTAAGTCTACGTAGTCCAACGATTGCTGATGCTATCATCACGCAACTCCTCAGTTTGCATGCATTTATTCCCGTGTATGACCTACAGGAACGGTTATTTTCTGGGTAAACACAGTGTTGTTACTTCCTCATTTCACTGTAGAACCTAACAGGATGTCAATGCAACAGACCATACTGTACTTGGTCCTGTGGAGATCTGTTCATATGGTCTTAGTATTCCGATTGAAGGCGTCATCTTGGTAACCCTAAAAGATACCCTCGTTATTCAAATAAACTGGCTCGCATTGCAGTTGCCTGTGAAATCTCAGCCACCCACGTCTGGTTGGTGCAATGTGCTTTTTGAGTTATGTCGGGTGCAGATTCGCAGCTTGCCTAGCCATCCAAATCAAAATGGTTCATTCAAACAAAGCATTGGCAACATCTTGTCACCGATCGTAATCTTCACAATTATCTTGGCAAATAGTTGTTCGTCACAACGATGTAGTTCGAAAATCCGAATCTAGCTATTACTGCTTTGTTAGGCTGTTGGGCCGAGGGCTTGGGAAAATAGCATTGCAACCAAAGTATGATCTTCGCATCATTCGTTTTCCCATTGAAGTATAGTGTGTAAATTTTAGGATAGCTAGGTAGGTCTATTTGCACACCTGCAACCGATGAAATTTGTGGTTAAATTTGATTGCAGTTGGCCGTAGTAGCGTGTATTCTTTTCGAACCAGTATCATCAAGATGGGATATACTCACACAAGCTCTTGTTCCTCAAACGAAAACGAGCCACAGAAAGCATGCCAGATTTCCCGTGGACGAATGGAATAACTTTTGTGATGTTCTCACTTGAAACTCAATATCGGTGAAAGGTGGTTAGTTGGGCATAGTTGTGAGATTTTTAAAATTTATGTTTGAGTTACCCCTGTTGTTCGGTCTCCCGAGACAAGCATTTTGGTTCGTTTTCGTTCCAGTGTTAAATTGTCCCAGAGTCGCTCATACTTCAAATTTCAACTTTACTCGTATATCTTTCTGCAACTACACTCGAACCAGGTCACTGTTACTTACGTATCGCTTGTATGAGAGGGGATCCTTCACTGCACATTTTTGTTTCCCCCCCACTTAAGCTTGATGGTATTTTGCTTGCCCTTGGAAATGACCATCGTGTGCGGTTTTTGAAACGCCTCACCAATGACGAAAGAAGTAGTGGACCCGCTGGAGACACCGGGAACACCGTAAGATGGAATTGTCTGTTCACAATCGGACGGGGCTCTTTGGATGACCCTTTGATTATGAATTTAACAGTACCACAGCCTTTCAGGTCATCTATTGGAGCAACGCTACCCTGCACTCGGGAGCAAACTGCAGGCTCATACGTGGCCCTACTGGATCTCCAGGGATATGTGCATCTTCATGACCTATCCGTTGCTCTGGATCAGTTTTGCAAGGTAAGTCAAGAGCTTACTACTGCATGCGGCTCTTATTACGATGAGCCATAGGCAACATGGAATAGGGCTGACTGAAAAAAGAAAGGTTTTTAAGAATCACTTCTGAATTCTTTTGCTTCGGATCAAAGCGTGGCGGTTAGTATATGAAGGTTGTTTTACAAACCGTATGTAGCCACATTATTGGAAGTGTGTCGATCTGTCTTCGTTGCTCTCTCACGTCATTATACGTCCCCAGTACCGGTCCAAATCATGCTCCTCTCTGAAGTTCTCCGTCTAGTTGGAGCAATGTCACGTGGATAAGAGCGTGGCTGCATAGTTTCACCACTTGACAGCTAGAGGGGATCGGTCAAGTTTCTGCCTTCAAGTCTCTGAGCTGCGTCACCATATTCAGCGGGCAGTCGAAAGTAAGTACCTGGATTTATACAAGGAGAATGCTCTAAATGCTCTATAAGCTTTGTGCATTTGACTTATGCATTTAAGAGGAGAATAGGGGCTCCTTCGCAGTCATCCGACAATCTCTAGCTGATTTGCACAATCATAGAATACCAACAACCCGTAGTTCTTCGATTGGTACCATGTAATTCTCGGAAGCGTTTTCACTACCTACTATATCTATCTAAGCTCGTTTATCTACGACGTTTACGATAGGTCGGGGAATCACCATCACGGACGTCTCGTATATTCATAAACAGGCCTCGGCTCACACAGCAATGAGATGACTTTCATCTCGCACCACGTTGCCTATCTAATCCATTATGGGCTGTTATTATAGTGTTACAGTGCCCTTTCTGTCTGAAAACGTTATATTTAGGGGCCATCTCCGTAAACGGACCGTTTGGCACTGCTGGTACTCAGAACCTTCTGGACATTTGTCCCCGCGTACTGTAACCAGGTCTCAGATGCAGCCTAATTTGTTAGGAATTTCTGAGGCTGTAGTAAAACGGGAGTGGTGTACTTCAGCCAGTTATTGCTGTCGGCGGTGATCTGCGCTTGCTCAAACTATTTCAGGACTACTATACTGGTTGCACAAAAGCGACGTGTATCGATAGCGTACTTTCTTCCTCTTTTTCACATGTGAAGCAAATCCATCTGTGCCCCCATCATCCGGCACACACTCTGTAGCGTCGCAACTGATTATACTAGTCTAATTTTTACAGACTATTTGTAATCAAACTACTGAAAAGAGCGGTCGGCTGATCACACCCACCGTCCTTTCTACCTTCCCCTTCTCTCTCACTCAGTGTCAAAGGGACTCCTTAATTATGGACGTAACTTACTATTCATTAGTTTGATGAAAGCTACTCGGATACTCACGACCGATTTCGCCTTTCTTGGACCTCATCAAGTAGGCGCACTTCCGGAGTTCCCATCAACCCTGTGTTACGTTTGAACCCAAATAGCTTGAAACTCAACAAATGCTCACATTTACTGTCGGACTCATTAAGTAGGTTTCAGCATCGGACTAGCTTTAATGTCATTGCTTCGGAACCCCACTGAGAAAAGGTAGCTATCCTCCCACACTCATTTGAAAAATCGAGTTGGCCGTCTAGCTCATCACCGAAACCAATACTGGGTTGCGGTCGGTGCAAAGCGAACCACCGAGCTTTAAATTTCTCGGCCTGTCTCTAAAACTTCGGTAATCGAAATGTTTCTGGGATGTTCGCTCACAGGTATTGAGTATGCAGACAATATTGCTGTCCTTGGTTCAGGCCCTTCCAAAATGTAGACGATTTTAGATAGCCTGAATAACTCTGCCACACGGTTTGACATGCGCTTCACACTTGCAAAATATAAAGTGCTACTACAAGATTGGTTTGAATCAAACGAAAACCCCATGTTTTCAGGCGAGCCAATCGACTTGTAGATAGATTTGTTTACCTGAGTAGTTGTATAAACTGCACTGGACAGAGATGAGGATATTTCTCAAATCGGAAAGGCCAGGGCAGCTTTTGCCAACCCCCGACGCGTATGATACCGACGTGACGTCACACTGCGTTGGTGCGATCCATACTGCTTTATGGCTCAAAGAGGTGGCCGGTACGTGCAGAAGACATACGAAAGATGTCCATGTTTGACCATCGGTGTCTCCGAAGCATTGATCAAGTCTGCTGGTAACATCGGATTAGCACTGCTGAGGTACGTCAGATTTTCTTAGGAAGAAGGAACTCTCTCCCGCGATAGATGAATTACTCACGCTTCATAGATTACGCTGGTTGGTTTATGTACTCCGTATGCCAGAAAACCACCTGCCTTGCTAAGCTCTTTGTGCACAGCCCTGTGCCGAGTGGAAGCGACCAAGAGGTGGACAATGTATGACCTGGCAACGAAGTATGAAGACACTGACCAGTAAACGGAGTTCGGTCGACAACTACCGCCTCTCTGAATGGTGACCCCGGGACTCAACTCACTGATGGCTAATGACATTGGCGGAAATGTCCCGATCGCGCAGTCAGTGACGCTCGTATATCAAAGCTATCGCCTTCATTTCATAACCACCCAATTTCCGAACAGACTGAACACGTCATCGCCTCCAAGGCTTGGTTGTATGCTCCACACTCTCCCGTTTTCCGGTGATCGAAACAGTCGCAGTTGGAACCAATGTGCCTCTGGTACACGGTTTATGGTTGGTAGATTGAATTAGATTGGATTGAATTGAACCGCTGAAGTTTGCATCCGACCAGAATCTAACCGAGATTTTTCTCAGCTAATTCATTCATTTTACAGCAAATGGACAATAGTCGATTGTCATAGCTTCAATCTCCCATAAAATCGAATCAGGCCACTTGTAGGGTGAATATTCTAAGGACTCTTAAACAAGCCCCATGGCGCAATTAAATTTGCGATCAGAACGTAATTCTACTCGTCGGGTAGAGTATGGTAGGCTGGGTTCCACTGATCCGAAACAACTTACGGTTACAATTTTTAGTGCTATGCAGATCGTATAAAATGTCCGTCTCACCGCAAAAACCAAGGTTGTATGCTGAAGTGTAGAGGGGCAAAGCAGTCGAAGAGTTTTAGATGCAGATGTTAGCGTGGTCGGTTGTGACTACGCTTCAAAACAGAGTGTATCAAATAATAGTCGAACCAAGTTTCACTTGCCCGGAGGATGATCGCTCATCCAGTAAAATGCCCCTTTCCGAAACCAGAGGCAGGAATATATTACTTATTTTTCCAAACTGAAGAGCCATCTTTCATAACTCCTTTTTTTCATAGAATGCTACCAATAGATTCATTTAACGATATGTCCTGTTTTTTAGTGCACGCATAACCTTAGTTTGGCCACAAAATGAAATTGCCTGCGTTCTTTTGGTCTAAAGCCTAAACTAAGAAGCAGTTTGGAGGATCCTAAGTGATGTTTCGGATGATATTCAGCTCCCGAACATGTGCGTAACGCCAAGTGTTATGTAGAGCCGTTTCGTCAAGCAAAAGCGTCCGTTGACCGTTCATTCTTTGTTGGAGACTTGGAGGACGGTGTACATTGTGTAGGAGTCCATTGTTTGTAGGTGCTTATTGTGAGGAGCTAAACCGGTTGATAATGTCGTTCCATTTAATGGCGAATTACACCCCGCAAGGGCTTGCAACCCAAGAAGAAAAAAATATTGCTCACACTTTCCTTTCGGGCTAGAGTGAGTAGAGTGCCTTAATTACTTTGCAGGCTTTCACAGTGTTGTTCGCAAACTGATGTTAACTGGTTTGATGCTCATTGTCTTCACCCATTCTTCTCTCTCAGCCACCTCCATTTTTGAACGTTGCGAATGAGGAAAAATACCGTAGACGCGTGAGTTCTATACCGGTTGTGGAATTCAAGCCAGTAAAATCGGCTCCCTCGAAAACCGATAGTCTGTTGACACAGAACGGTTTTCAATGCGCTACACGTGGCAGACATGCAGATGTACATACTAACCCATTCGCTGACCCAGTGAGTATGATTTATGTAAATAACTTATATATTGTATGCTAGCATCATATCGCTTCTGATGTATTAAACTTCACACATATCAATCTTCGGGTTATATCAACTAGCGTTCCAATGCATTCTATTTTGCCGAACTATTTGTTTAGTACTGAAATCACTTTGTACATAGCGTGAGATTTTGCTTTAGTCTTGTTCGAAATAGATGAATTGAGAGAGTTAACCCGTGCGAAAATTTCTTCCAATGCACAGGTGATTGCCTTCAATTCACCTTCATTTCACTTTAAGTTCTCTTTATGAAGGACCTGGTATGCATTACTTACTACTGTTTGGAGTAAAACACTTACACTATGATATATGATGCGATAGGTCCTGAAACTACAATCCAGTACGTTTTTCACCTAGATTGGGACTTCAAACTGGCAAACTTTTAGCTTTCCCGTCTGAAGCAGTTGTATCCTCTTCGTAATAGTTGGTAGTCATTTATATGTAGAAAAGTTTCTGTTTGTCTTGCTTAATTGTCGGGATATATCTGGACAAAAGGCAAAGTTAGATAGGACTTTTGGACATGTTTCAGTGCAACTGTGCATCCGCAGCTTCATATCCACTTGGTTTCTCCTTTTCACACATACTCCAACCTTCTGTTCCTCAGCACTGGATTGCGAATCCCCCCTTTGTCGCACAACAGATAGCAAGAAAATTGTAATTCAGTGTCTTCTTAGAATCCTGGATTAAAACTTTTCGGAGAGCAACGACGATACCAAACGTTTTCACGAAAGCACAATCAGTCCACCGAAACTGAAAGTGTACTTCACGTTTCAATTCGCTGATGTGGGATCCTATCGTAACATGTTACACAATTCGTATGCCTTACCAAGATCAACCATAGTTCTGTGACACATCTCTGCTGGATGTGTAAGCTACCCGTGCAACCTTGCCTTGACTGTAAGTAAAAAGCTGATAAACGTCCTGCATGTAAGTACAAGTGGAGTAGTCAACGGGAGCCATAACTTGGTAGCATAACATCGATCTTATCGAGATGAAAGTCCTGGAGTGTGCTGGGTCATTCATTGGCTATTTCATCCTTCTTGATTGTGTTTTGGTGGAACTTCATGCGTACTTGCTTGCGTATCGCAAAGCAGTCAGCAATTTGCCAGCTTGAAAATACTCATCTATCGCTAGTCCATATCGCAAGGTCCCGAATCGTTAGGTGAGAAAGCATTTGTCCATTACCCTGACTCTCTCTTGATTTGTGAGCGGGCCACGAGTAGTTTATGACTTCTGGACATTTCTGGTCCCGGATGAAACATCGGGAAATTTACCAACCTGTTTGCACCGAGGAATTTTTTTCTAAATTTCAACCTCAATAATTCCTATACGAACGAACGATAAAGTAGCAACGAAAGTCATATTCCAAAGAGCGTAGCCTCGTGTCCGATCATTTGAAGTTAGCTTATTCCGATAATAGCTGGTCCGTCACGAAGAGACTGGACTTTACCGTCGTAGCCTCGGTCCGATCATTTGAAGTTAGCTTATTCCGATAATAGCTGGTCCGTCACGAAGAGACTGGACTTTACCGTGGTGTGACGGTTTGCCCACCTCAGCGATCCATTGAGCTATACTCGAGAGTGTCTCGCAACACTCACAGAGTCTCTCATACCAGGTTGGTCAATGGTCAGAGGTCTGACGAACACAGTCTCCTGGCCCTCCAGGTTGGGGGTTGGAACATGTGGCGACTTGTTCCGTAGAAATGATAATGTATTTGCATTTCCCGCCAAACACGGCTGCCTTGCGGCCTAGGCTTTTGAGCTAAAGGCTTTGGTTGAGGACCCTAATCGTCCTCCTGTCTAGGTGTGGGCGCCCTGGCAGTACCCCAGCCCTCGTACAACCATGACCTACATGACTAACAATATTCTCATGCCACATCGGCCGTCGCGTGGTGCCATCAGCCGGGTCGCCTTACTTGCTGCATACAGCAGGGCG